TTCTATAATAATATATGATTTTATTTCATTATTAAGAAATAAAAAGAAACAGAACAGAAAAAAAACTGAAATTAAACACACAAATTAGTAATAATAAAATAAATAACCCTTTTTTATTTCAATATTAACCTTTTCTTTTTATGATGAATACCTTTTGAGAAAATCAACCTAAGAAAATCATAATACCTAATAATGCACTCTTTAAATATTTTCAGTATTTTTTTTCCCCTCTAATTTCTTTTATAACAAAAAAAAAAACCCTTAATAAAAAATTTATTAAACAGAAAGAAAAAGCAAAACGGAAAAAATCAACCTAAAACCTATTCAATTCAGTTTTTTTTTTTTTTGGTTCTTCATTTTTTGATGATTTATTATGAAAATTAATTCCCGCTCATCTGGGATTTAAAAAAAAATAAAATATTTAGAAAAAAAAAATGACCTTTCCTGCTGCTCCAAATACGCACTGACACAGCAGTCAAATTATTCAGACAGTAAAATAATAATAAAATGATAAACAGAGAAAGAGCAACCATTTCAAAAATAATCCAAGTCGATAAAAATAAAAAAACAAAATCAGTTTAAATATGAAACTAAAATACCAACAAAAACGAAATGAAATCTTCCTAAAGGTAAAATAATTTTTTTTTTTGGGTCTATGTAAGCATTTTTGATATTATTCTGGGGTCTCTTAAATTCTTAAAATAATTCCATTCTCATTATTATTATAATTACAATTTTTTTTTTGTTTTAATTCTAAAATTTCAGTCTCCAAAAAAAACAAAAGAGTATACTCTTCTAAACTATCAAATTGTCTTTTAATTTTACGCTCTTCTTTTCATTTTTTTTTCGTTTAAGTAAGCAGAAATGAAAAAAGAGAAGTGTTATATTATAATTTGTATGTTATTCATTACTTTTGCTTTTAATAAATGCATGAAATTCTTCGCGCTTGTATAGAAATGTGTACACTGTACAATACTAAAAATTGAATTATATTGGAATGAAATTATAAGTACGAGTATGATTACATTTAGTAGAGAATGGACAACAGTGACAATATTCTTGAAGTTTCATATTAAACAATTTATAATTAAAGATTATATTCCGAAAATTTGAATTCCGAGCGTTCTACTCAAATCAAAACTAAAGCGAATAATTAATAATTCTGCAAAGAATTGATTACGATGTGGAATTCATAAATGATTGATAATAAAAATTCTCATAAACTCATAGATATTGCATGCATTTTTTTGCTTGCAAGTGTGTTCTAAAAATCAATATTATTGAATAAAAAAATGATGATGTTGCGCATGACACATACATAATTGTATACTCCACATTTTACAACAATAATTAATAAAAAACTATACCTCTATACATGTGTCCACAGATCTAGACATACAAATCTCTTACACATGTCTATTATTATTAGAATCTACATATACGTTATGTATAAATTGTACATACGTTTTTTTGTGTTTTATTATTGCTTAATTTAAAAAACGTGGGAACAATTATAACCAGAGGTACATGTGTATTAAACAAAAAAAAAAGAGAAAGAAAATAAAAAGAATATCACTTTCGCGCATTACTTTTGTAAAAAAAAAAACAAAACAAAAGCAAAGAATAAATTATAATTTTCTTTAGATGTGTGTGAGTGCACGTTCGCTGCATACAGTGCAAATTAAAAAATTTTATATTTAAAAAAAAAAAATTATTAGTGTTTGTTCTCTGTGTATTTGTAATGCATACACTTTTTAAAAACTTACTTAAAGGTCTCCTTTATCAAAAACTTGTTAATAGTCGTCACTTGACTCATAATGACAACAAGAATGAGGGGGAGAAAAAGGTTCATTTTACAATTTTAACAAAATTTTGCTAGATTTTCATTTTCATTTTTTTTTCTCAAATTTATTTACTCTCTTCCTATTACTTTTCTAACAAAAAAAAAAAACTAAACGTCAGAGAAAACAGATTAAAAAAAAATAAAATTTTGAAATTGTTACCTTTGCATTTTGCTGTGCACAGCATAGGTAATATGAAGAAAAAATATAAACCGATTTTAAAAGTAAATTTTTTTTATTATTAAATTTTTTTATTTTCAAAATTTTTTGTTATTGTTATTATTTGTTTATTGTTTTCGTTGATTAAATAACTGCACTCTATAAAGGTGTGTCATATTCATCAACTGTTTTGCGCGAACGATAGATAAGTTACTAAAAAGTTTACTTGTATTAAAATATAACAATAAAAATTAAAATACAGAACAAAAAAAAATGAAATATCACATTCAAAAAATCTACGTAATAAAAAATAATACAAAATGTGCATGGTTTTGCAAACTTAATGAAATTTTAAAGAAAATGCAATTCTCATCTTATTGTAAAATTTTTAAAGTTGAATTGAATGTCAGACTTGTTATTATTTTATCTTTTACAATATTATTCATTTATATACACACAACATACTATAAATATACAATGTATAACACCTGAACAATAATAATTGTATATCAGTTCCAAAGGATGTTTTATATAAGTACAATTACATTTTTATTTAATAAAGAAAAAAGAAGAAGAAAGAAGAAAAATGTGAGTTGTACTATGAATAAGGTGTGACAGATTTTTAATTTTTTAATATTTTAATTGAATATAAGAAGAAAGAGAAAAAAAAAATGAAGAATAACACACAAAAGGCATTTTGTATTTTATTATTTTTAATTCACCGATTTTAATCTAAACAAGTAAAAACGTTTCAGTCGGTATGAACCGATTGAATTATACCCTGCACCTTTGATTGTTGTAAAGCAATTACTGAAACCTGTGAAACCATTCTATAGAAACTTCACGGATATGTCTGATCTATAACTGAACACACAACTACCAAGTTTCGTGAATCTGACTTTATTATTTTTCCAAATATTTAAAATTAGCTTTTGGAGTTGTATGGCAGGTACCCGAACCTGCCAAGCAATTCCATCAAAACTTCACTAATATATCTGATCTATAATTGGACACACAATTGCCAAGTTTCATGAATCTAACTTTATTACTTTTCCAAATATTTAAAATAAGCTTTTGCACTTGTATGGGAGCCACTCGAACCTGTCAAGCAATTCCACCAAAACTTCAAAAATATCTTTGACCTATAATTGGACACACAACTGCCAAGTTTCATGAATCTGTCTTTATTATTTTTCCAAATATTTAAAATTAGCTTTTGAAGTTGTATGGCAGGTACCCGAACCTGTCAAGCAATTCCACTAAAACTTCGCAGGTATATCTGATCTATAATTGGACACACAACTGCCAAGTTTCATTAATCTGACTTTATTATTTTTTCAAATATTTAAAATAAGCTTTTGGACTTGTATGGGAGCCACTCGAACCTGTCAAGCAATTCCACTAAAACTTCAGAAATATGTTTGACCTATAATTGGACACACGACTGCCAAGTTTCATGAATCTGACTTTATTATTTTGCCGAATATAAAAAATTTGCTTTTGGAGTTGTATGGCAGCCACCCGAACCGGTGCAGCTATCTCATTAAAATTTTTAAAGGATGTGTAGAATATAATTGGACACATGTATACAAAATTTTATATTTATACCTTTATTAGTTTTTGAAATATTTAAAATAAACTCTTTGAGTTGTATGGCAGCTACCCGAACCCGTTGTCCGAATTAGTCCAATAACAATAGGGCTCGTCCTTGGCACAAAAGAAAAAACTTGTGAAAGTTTGGTGTCGATTGCATTATTCGTTTTTGAGTTATCGTGCGATCGGACGGACGGACGGACGGACGGACGGACGGACGGACGGACGGACGGACGGACGGACGGACAGACGGACATGTCTAAATCGACTCAGAATTTTACGCTGAGCAAGAATATATATATATGTCCATACCGCAGATGACTCCTTCAAGTAGTTACAAACTCCATACCAAAGTTAATATACCCTTCACGAAGTGCAGGGTATAAATATACTTTAAATATTTTTTTTTTTCTTTTATTTTTCAATTTTTAAAAAATCCTTCTATACAGATTTTTAACTTTATTAAAAGTACTTAATTTGCAATGATTATTATTTGATATTATTAATAAATTTTTTAATAAATGCGCTAGATAATTTTTTTTTTAGATTTTTGCATTTTTATGTAAAATAAAACCAAAAATAAAAAAAAAATTTAAAAGAATTAAATTACATAAAGCATTAATCATTTTAATGCTTTTGAAATTGAAATATAAAAAGTAGAAAATAAATATTAAAAATTATTAAATGTAGATTTTTACAGAATTTGAACAGAATTACTCAAAAACAAATCAATTTATAACATTCTTCTAATTTCGGATGTTAAAAATTTGAAGTCATATGATTTGATAAATAACACCTATTTTAACAGCATAGCTGTTGTAATTACAAAACCAAGAAGAGAAACATGAAGTAAAATTTCTCTTTGAATTTTATTGTTTGATGCACACTACATCAGTACTACACATAAATCGCATTTCTCTTAACAATATTAACTGGCCTTAACAGAGAAAATTATTCCAAATGGCTAAAATGGAAATTTTTTTTGGGAAATTTTAATAAAATGTTAAAAACCATTATATTTATTGAAAATACAAAAATTAACAGGTTGTCAATTTAAATTTTAATTATTAAAGTCCTATACAGTATCAGCGACCAGATTTCGAATAGCAAATATTTTGCGAAACTAAATACATATGTAATTATTTCTTGCGTTAATGTTTAATAAATAAATAATACAAGTACATGTATAAGTACTTCATAAATTTTAATGTTTTCAATTCCCTTTTCGTAAGTCCACTTTGAATAAAAATTATGTGCTTTTATTAAAATAAATTTTACTGCACTTGAATTCTCTAGAATAACTTTTCTAAACAAGTAGAATACTTTGATAGTATTACAATATTATATTTTGTGTATAACAGTTTTTTAACAAAAAAAATAACTTATTAAAAATTATTATGTACTTACGTGCATTCATTCGGTTTTGTACAATGTCCATGCAAGTCATTACAACCTTTCAAACATCGTGCTGTAAAAAATAGAAAATTCAAAAAAAAATAAATTAATTTTTCAGATAAACAAAAATAGATGAACAAAAAAAAAAAAATCAATTTTAAGCAATTTAAAAAATTAGTTTTTCTCTCTTTTTTTTTATCTAAAAATGTAAAAGTTACTAAAGTCATAAGTATCTTAAACTCATCATGGAATTAAGAAAATTACTTTTATAATATAATTGCTGTATACACCATTTAAATTCATACCCCAAAAAATATACATATAGTTTACTATATAAGCTACCTTAACCTATCTCTGTACATCAACATCTATACAAACATATTAACATAAAATAACAAAAAAAATACCTAATGCATATTATTGTAATATAAATTTTAAAAAAATATGATCGATCAACAAAAAAATAATTTTCCTTCTACTACCAAAAAAACGTTTTTATTTTTTTTAATAGTCTGCAATTTTCTATATAAATATTTTAAAAAACGAAATAAGTACCCATATACTTGGATGGAGAGGAGATAAAGAAGAAGAAGAAGAAGAAGAAGAAGAAAAACATAAAGTAAAAAATGACGCGCGACCGATTTATGATCAACCTCACGAGAAGTGCACTTCTCAATTGTTATAAAAATATCTTTCACTATATACATAACAATAATATATACATACATACATGCATAGTCATATATAAAATATATTTTACTATAGTACAGATAAAAATATATCACAAGTTTTCATTATTATTATTTTGTTTTTTTTTAATTAAAATGATGGTAGTTGTATACTTGTTTATAAAAAGTCAGGTGAAATAACACGATTAAAAAGAAATTGCAGGTGTTTTGTTTTTTTAATTTTTTTAATTTTTTTTTAGGATTTCTAATTTAAAAACATTTTATACCTCTTACTAATAAAAAAAAAAAAAAAAAACAAAAATAAAGCGATTTTTAAAACATGGTAAAGTACAGCACAGCTCTCTCACTCAATTCAAATAGGACGAGGTACAAAAAAAAAAAAATAATAGTAAAAATGAGAAACGTGGCAAAAAAAAACAAAAATAAATTAAAAATTAAAATAAATTTTGCTTGCAAATTTTTTTTTTCTCTCTCTTTTTTTTAATATCCTAATGGTTTTTCTTCTACATTTTGAGAAATTGTTAAAAAAAAATTTAATAAAATGGGGTGGGATCATGGTGATAGTTTGGCGTACTATATGACCTGGTTATATAAAAAAAATAAGACGAAAAGAAAATATTTATTACTCTATACGATAATTCTTAAGAGAAAAATTAAATAACAAAAAAAAAAAAATAAACAAAATGGTAACAGTTACATGTCAGTAAAGTTAAAATAAATTTAAAAATACAACAAGTGCTTTATAATTACAGGCAAAGTATAAGTATGTTAAGAAAATTTTATTTAAGAGAGCCAAAAATATGCGCTTATAATAAAGAACCAGTTACTGATAAAAAAATTGAAACTGATCTAAAATCTAGGAAACGAAAGAATAAGAATTGCATTCAATAAAAATTGCAACAAAAAATTTATGATATTTAAGAACATAAAATATTAGCAAACAGGATATTTACAAAATATAAACAGGATATAATTACTGAACAATTAACTTTGAGGGGAGATAGAACACTATTATACAATGAACAGGTGTTGTAAAAATAGCAATGAAGAAGGTCTCCCAAATATTTTATTGCATATTTCATTTTTTTAATCAGTTCTTAAAATCACAATTTCTCATTAAAAAAAAATATATTTGGCATTTTTGAAATGTAATTAAAAATTAAAAATAACAGTTTTTCTGTACAAATTTCATTGACATGTTATATATAATGTTTAAGTTGTTCATGTAATTATACTATGAATGCAGTTCATTTGTAGTTATTTTGTTTTACAATATTAAAAACTCTTATTCTTAAATTTGAACCATTATAACTCTCTTAATATCAATAGTGATTTAAAAATAGAGAAATTTCGAATCTATCAAATAATTGAGAACAATTTAATAACAATTAAATAATTATACTATGAATGCAGTTCATTTGTAGTTATTTTGTTTTACAATATTAAAAACTCTTATTCTTAAATTTGAATCATTATAACTCTCTTAATATCAATAATAATTTAAAAATAGAGAAATTTGTAATCTATCAAATAATTGAGAACAATTTAATAACAATTAAATAATTGACAACATTTGATTAATAAATATTAGAGAAGAGAAGAATTTAAAGAGAATTTTAAGTTAATTGAGATTCGAACAAAATGAATTTGATTGTAGAATTGTTCTTAATAATAATTTAATTATATTAAACCTACATACATACACATACATAATGTATTTAATTTCATTATCAAAATCCATAAAAACTTTTACTGTAGGTATAAAAATATGCATAATAATATTAAGTACATGTATCCAATTTTGAATGACCTAAATTTATTCAGAAAATATCCCCAGTAAACAAAAAGGAAAAATATTCCCACAATATCAAAATTAGAAGAGAAAAATTTAAATTATTACAAGCACTTTTCTGCAATAAAATAAAAAATCTCATTTAGTAAATATGAGTGCCATCCCATTAAGCACTTAAGCAATTATTTTTTTTTTTTTTACAAAAATCGAATTTATTATAGTGTATCTGTGTATGCATATACAGACACACACTTTATTCCTGCATATTTATTGAAAGCGATATTTTTAATTTTCATAAATTTTTCATTTATAATTATTGGATTGAAAGCGCTATAAAATTAACAAAAGTCCTTTTTTATTTTAACTTTCAATAGTAATTTTGATGACATTTTAAAAATTACTTTTCCCTTTCGTATAAAAAAAAAAAAAACAAAAATATGACCAATTACGATATAGAATTTATTGTAGAAATACAAAGAAGTGAACTCGTAACGATGTAAAGATGCTAAAAGAAATAATTTATAAGTATAAATAAAGTCCTAAATTATAATCAAAAAAACACAAAACAAAAAAAAAAAAAAGAAAAAATTGATTTAATATTGTAATTTTGTTTTTTTGCGCCTCTCTCGTGAACACTTTTCCTCTTGTTACTTTCTCAGATCTTTAAATTTCTTTAAAACTTATTATTTTGAGTACTCAATCGCGTACTTATTTGGTGTAAAATTTTCGCACCTAAGTTAATTAGAGTGTTAAAAAAATTACCATCACATACAAGAAAAAATAAGAAAAATGCAATTTGATTGATCGACTTGAACAACCTCCAAAAAACAAAAAAATTTCTTATCGTAAACATAAATCGCCAACAATGGAGGAAAAACACAAGTGAAGGGGGCAATATAAATGAGAAAATATCGGATAAGTGCGAACACAAACACAACTATATACCTACATATATACATATATTATTTGTAATATAACAAATTGTTTTCAACCGGTCTTCAATATTTAAGAAATCATACAAAAATTATAACGATATACGTGCATATAACACTTACTAAGAACTTATTATAAAAATGTTCAGTTTTCTTATAAAATTTTACACTTTTTCATTAAAAATGTCTTTAAAAAATTGAATGTAAATAATATTACAAGAGTCTTTTTCAAAAAGAATTTGACCTAAAAAAAAATTAAATTTACGATACAATTTTTTTTTTTTTTTTTGCACGCTCATATTTACAGATATAGATGATTATGATGCTGATGAGACGGTGTGAACCGAACCAGTTTTAATAAGAGTGTTTTGGTTTTTTTTTTTAAAAAGAATCACACTTCATTTTCCAAAAATGAAAAATTTAAAATTATAAATTAAAATTTTGTAAGTAAGCATAATGTAATAAATCTCACGTCTACTACATTGTTAATTATATATATACGAGTATGTAAATGTGCACATACATATAAATTTTTTAATATTTTTAAAAACGGTAATAAAAAATGATCATAAGGAAATAATTTTTGGTTACAATTTTATGTGTATAAAATTGCACTTTAACAAGTGTTGTAAAAATATATGTAATTATTATCCAAGCAAAAAATAAACGGTATATATATGTATGTACATAATATGCTGATGAAAAAATAAAAAATAATAGATGTACTCTTTAATTAACTTAAAATAAAGAAATAAGTAAAATTATAAATGCATTATGCATATATACACATACGTATGTAAAATAAAAAAATGGCGCATGAAACTAATACAAAAATATTATTTCAGTGTGTTTCAAAATGCAATTTTGATAAATATATATATTTTTTATAGCATAGTTTTTTCTCTTTTAGAAATTGATTTTTAAATTGGTTGTGAATTTATTTGCCTTTAAAGTTTGTTGTCTCCTAAAACATCTTCAATTTTTCATTAACTTTATTTTGGACACAAACCAATTTTGTTAAATTACCTTTTAGTTCTGATTCTTATTTTATAAAAAAATAATCTTTAAGCGCTACAGTCAATATGTTTTTTTAAAAATCTACCACGTCTATGTTTCTTAGGTATCGCACGTTCTCACAATCAAATTCCAGTATAATGCTCTGCAACAGGGACTAAATTTTGAACTGTACGAGAATATACATGTAGGTACTCAAAATATTAATCGTGTAACAAGTAATACAGCATTACTCAATCAAAAATTAACAGAAATATGTACTCTTTTTCGAATATAAAATATCTATCTAAAGAGAACAATGACACGTTTGAGTTTTTAACTAAAATTCGGAGAGTAATACTACTTTTCTTTATTTACATAACATAGGCACACTTAAAGACATATACGAAAATATTATGGGAAAATTTTAAAATAAAAAAACTAATATTAATATGACAAGAAAATTGTTATCTTCGAAAATTTCTTTTTTTTTTTTTTGTTTTGTTCCGTAAAACTAAATTTCCGTCTTTCTTTCATATTTTATCATTTATTTATTATATACGCTCGCACATATAAATTGTATATGTATATAAGTAGTATTATTTAGTTTAGTACATTCATCATTCTTAATATTATTTGGAATATACGTGAAAGATATTTTAACAAC